CGAACTGCGATCGACTACATGGGAGTCCAGCAACATAGCCATTATGCTAACTGCTCGTTCCCTAAAATTTGTATTTTATGATTGTACGTTTATAAAGATAAATAGAATCCAGGCTGTATTATGTTCATTTTCCCCTCTGATCTTAAAAGAAATAACATTTCCACCTACTACATAAGCACTGTGGTCTAAATTCTGTGCCTACTGTGCCTAATCGAGTCAGCTATGGTAAGGAGCCATTGAATGGTTTTGATCAAAAATAATAATAGATAACTCGATGGGACAAGAGAAGACCTAGAAAACCAATGCAGATATATGCTACATATTTTAGGGTTTCTGAACTGTGGGAATAGTGTAATAGACACTAAATACCATAAGTGTATAGGTGAACCAGACATACTCACATTTTCTGGTAAATTTAGTGGAGGAGCAACAGAATTCTTTTTTTATTTTTCTGGAGAGGTTTTTGCTATAGGGCACGTGCGCTTGCCAGACAGACAGAGAGAGACATAGAAACAGAAAGCGAGAAATCACCCCCCCAGGGGGGATGGTCACGCCACAATCCCTTCTCTTCTCCCGGGATCTTGGGCACGCACGCACACGCGCCCGGCATGAGTTTTAAGCCACCAGGTCCGGGACGCGAATCGCAGTCGACTATGTGGGAGTCCAGCGACACAGCCATTACACTAACTGCTGGTTCCCAAGCAATAGAATTCTTTGAAGTATCTGAATACTGAGGCCCAAAATAATTGATAATAAAGCAGGATAAAAACTCTTACTGAGATACAAGTGGGTAAAGTTTTGCTATGTCAAACAAACAAGATGAACACAAAATCTAGACAAAGCAGAGAGGGATGTATGAGAAGAAGATGTATGCCCTGAAGGACATATTAACAATTATAGGAGATCTCATCCTTCTTTCTGCTTTACTCCAAGGAAATACCCTCCACAAATGGCCCTGAGGAACCACAGCACTATCACGGAGTTTATTCTCATTGGGTTGTCTGCTGACCCCCGCATCGAGGCTCTGCTCTTTGTGCTCTTCCTGGGGATTTACCTCCTGACCATGATGGGGAACTTGATGATGCTGCTGGTGATCAGAGCTGATTCCCGCCTCCACACGCCCATGTACTTCTTCTTGAGTAACCTGTCATTCCTGGATCTCTGCTTCTCTTCAGTCACTGTTCCCAAGCTGCTGAAGGACCTTCTATCTGCAAAGAAAACCATCTCGGTAGAGGGCTGCCTAACTCAGGTCTTCTTTGTGTTTATCACTGCAGGGACAGAAGCCTTTCTTCTCTCAATGATGGCCTATGACCGCTATGCTGCCATCTGCCACCCACTGCTCTATGGCCAGATGATGAGTAATGAGCTTTGTGTGAAGATGGTGCTGGCCTCATGGGCCCTGGCCTCTCTCAGTTCAGTGGTCATTGTGCTCTTGGCTGTTAATCTGGACTTCTGTGAGGCCCAAACCATACACCATTACACCTGTGAACTGCCCTCTCTCTTCCCTCTGTCTTGCTCTGATACCTCCATTAATATCGACATCTTGATCTGCTCCACTTTACTGCATGGACTTGGAACATTCCTCCCAATCTTCTTCTCTTACACCCGTATTGTCTCCACTATCCTGAGCATGAGCTCCACCACAGGCCGCAGCAAGGCTTTTAACACGTGCTCCTCCCACCTCATCGCGGTGATCCTGTTCTTTGGGTCAGGTTTGGTCCGCTATCTTATGCCCACCTCTGGTTCCTCCCTAGATTTGCTTGCCTCCTTGCAGTACAGCGCAGTCACACCCATGCTGAATCCCCTCATCTACAGCCTAAAGAACCAGGAGGTGAAAGCAGCTGTGAAAAGGACATTTGAGAAATGTCTGCATTATTTTAGGTAACGACAAAGGACACTGAATGGTAGGAAATAGTTTGTGCTGCCAAGTGCTTGAACTTAAGGTAGAATTTTAAATCAGTAACTTAGAGACCCTTTATCACTCTCTCTCTGACTATATTGGCAATGAAAAATAAAAAACACAAAATCATGTCTAGTTTGTATCTGTGGATCTGTGGTTCATTTTCTCTTTGTTCAAATCTCTTACACCATCACCTCTTTCTTTCTGGTACAGATAGTTAGACATTGTAACTCTTGGATTGCTCATTTATGTAAGGTAAATAATACAGGTAAATCTTTTTTTGTTGTTGTTTTATTGATTTACTCCATTAAAGATTTTATTCAACTTACTGTCTCCTATAGAATTTAGACTATTTATATTTTTTACCATTTTGGAAAATTGCTGTAAATCTATATTTATAAATTTCAAGCTTAAAAACAAAATGATTATTCCTCCCATGAAAAATTACAAATTTATTTTATTTTGATAACCTCCCTCCTCCCTTCACCACTTGAATTCTCTGCCCTCTAAACTTTTTTCTACAGTCTATGTTTCCTTTCACTTTTGTCCCTGGATATCATCAAAAAGTTATTATAGTTAAATTTTTGGTATCAATTTAACTCTGGATTTTTTTTTCAGAGAGCGCATACACTTATCAGAGAGAGACAAGAAAAGTAAGACAGCACCCTCCATGGGATCTGGTCATGCTACAATTCCTCCTCCTCTATTTCTCCCTCTTTTTGGAATTTTAGGTAAACATACACATGCCTGGGATGTTTCTCAATCCACTGGGTTGAGACTTGAACCACAAAGCAGCCATGTGGGATCCAGCCAGCCACAGACTGGCCCAAAACTCTGAATTTTAAACATCATTTCTACAGTTATGTAGGATTCATCTTATGTTTAAATGTACTTAACATTCAGGTGCATTCCTTTTGTGTTTCTCCATTTTTACTTTCCTTTTTCCACAGTAGAGTCTAATGGTTAGATGCACACTTTAAGAATACAGTTGCCTTGGTTCATACCCTGGCTGTGTCTATGTATGCTTTATGACCCCCATAAATTACTAACTTCTCTGTGCCTCAGTTTCCTACATTGTGATAATAATAATACCTGTACTATAGGGTTATTGTGAAGATTAAATTAAATGGTACATATAGAGCACTGGAACATTAATAGCCACCATTAGAATGTTAGTCATCATTATTCATAGAGTTCTTTATTCTGTTTTTATTTGGTTAGAGTATGTATTTAGTCAGATTTCTCGGAAATGGGCATTATAACATATTTCAATGGAGGAGTTCGACCCGGTAAGGCCCCAGGGTCTGTTTTGAGCTTTTGACCTTTAAGTACCACTTAGGTCAGGTCAGCATGTTGGCAAGGCCGCTGCTGTGTGCCCCCCCCAACCTAAGAATAAAACTTAGGTCGAATTAGCATGTCAGCAAGGCCGCTTGCTATTTGCTCTGGAAACTGTGGTAGCCTTGCTGGGAAGCAACCCCTCTCTGACTCCCTAATATACTACTATAAAAGAATTACATAGCTCTCTTATACATCCTGAGTATATGATAAGATTTTCCAGGAAGTCCCCCAACCACTCCCCTTTGCTCTGACTACCTACTGTTAATTACAGTGCTTCACTCCGCAGTCACAATAGAGGGTGTGCTGAAGTTCTATCTAGGCAGAAATAATCTTGACCTTTGGAAGGCCCTTCAAGATACATTTAACATAAGCTTAAAGATAATCTTGTCTTTACATAAAATAAGATTAGGCCAAAACTGGCTCAGGACACCCCCGCCCTCATCAAGTGAAATAGATAAATATATTAGGATTCCTTAAATTAAGTTTTAGATCCCTATAAAACTATATAAGTATCATTCTTCATTAAGATTCATAAGAACTAATATCTATACTTAAGATTTTCTTTTCTCAGCATCGTGTTCAGTAATCACAAGATGGCTGCCGCCACATCAGCTGATAATTATCTCTGCTTGCTGGAACTGCTTTCCTAAAACTGCATTCCATGAAGACCCACCTACCACAATACACCCACCCTTAATCCAACCCTGAATGGAACCTATGATCCCTATTGAACTGATAATTAGAACATGTATCCCCCTCATCCACTTACTTGCATGTATCGCATTTTCAATAAAAAGGCATGATAATTCCTGGCAGGGGTCACTCTTCAGAGAGCAATCTCTGAGGGGTGTCCAACTCAGGATGTGCATGAAAAGGCACTGAGGCCTTAGTCTTCTTCCTTTCCAGGGTCACCTCCGACGAGTCAACCCACCCCCACCGAGGCTGAACCCTGGCATTTCAAGACCTCACATGTCTGAGAATCTATTTTTCTTTCATTCCACATATTTCTTAAAGCTTGACTTGGTATAGAATTTGGGTATCCCACCTATTTTCCCCTGTATGTATCTGGCATCTAATGTTCTTCAGAAATGTAAGAATACCTTGCACTTTTGCCACAAACTAAAGATAAAAAATGGGCCAGGAGATAGCATGATGGTTAAGGCAGCTGGATTCCACATGGTCAACTGAGCTACTGGAGTCCTGGACTGGTGGCTTGAAAAGCACACCCAGGCACGTGTTTATGAATGCCCAAAACTCTGAGAGGAGAATGGAAGGGCATGACTGCAGTGTGGTCATCCCTCCTAAAGGGTGCTTTCTCACTTTCCCTCTCTCTCTCTGTAACTCTCTGGTGAGTGCACATGCCCTATAACAAATAAAAAAATAGCAATAATTTTTTAAAGATAGAAAAGAAAATAGCATCAAAAAGGCACAGAAACAGTAAAAATGTTTTAAAATATACAGACATTGGAGCTGGTAGGTGACTTGGTGGATAAGGCACTGGACTTCCACATGGCTGATTATGGTTTGAGTCCCAGACTTGACAGCTTGCATTCTCAATTTCTCTCTCACTCTATTCAATTAAAATAATTATTATGATTATGATTAATAAAATTAAATAAAGTAATTATCTTTAAATGAAGAAATTACAAAATAAGATAGCAAGCTGTTACTATATATATATATATATA